TCAAACGTCAAGTAATATACTTTAGAAATGAAAAAATACGCTCAAGTTTTGCGAAATCATTCAATTATCTCAATGTTGTTTCCGAAACAGATATAACATTTTTCGGTAGCTTTTGGTCATTTATTTGCTTTTTCCTCCTCTCTGTATAATAACTTATAAGAAATATGAGTTTTATTATTAGGTTTTATAATAAAATGAAGTATTTTTCTTATTTTTGTTGTATAACTGCTCTGAAGGGAAATATATTGAAACTAAACATGATTTGAGTTAAGAATTTTGTTTTTTGTCGAAAAAAGTTTTTAAATAATATTTCCTATAATAAAGTTTTGTTTTATAAACTTTTTATACATAAAAACATTTAATCAATGACCCGAAGACGGAGTGCAGAGTTGATGTAATAATTCATGAAAATACTGTAAAACTAACAAAATGTTAACATTAAATAACATGTTAAAAAAGTACTGCAACTCATAATATGTGTCTCGAGACTGGATTTAGTTGTCATAACTTAATAATAATGTATTGATAATAATTAGAAGAAATTTTAATAATACAAGTTTAGCACGAATTAAATTCAAGTGTTATTTATTTCAAATGTAATGCAAATCTCAATGAATGAATAGATTTGATTTGAACCTTGAAGACAGTTGCAAACCATTGTCCATAATGTCTAAACTACTCGATACTATCGTATTTTATTTGCTTTGCGGCTGTTTTTGTCGAAAGAAGACGAAGAGAGAGATGAAAGAAGACAAGTATCGGACTCTACGACAGCTCAACACAATAACGCCGCCGACCGGACGCCGAGTGCCGACCGGTAAACGGGATCTGAAGAATCGGCCCGAAGTGGACATCACTGTTGTCTATAAACTACCGGACGAGAGATTTAAGACCAAAGAAGACGTATACAGATATCACGGCTACACATTTGGCGCGAACATAGGGCGAGGAAACTTCGGCACAGTTGACAAAGTGACGTACCGGAAGGGCACCGAACCGGGGATACCACTGGCCTGTAAACGGCTTGAAATCCCTCCGCCGGGAACCGACGCCGAAGAGATTAAGCAACGCGAGCGCCGACTACTGGACGCCAAGCATGAGATATACATATTACAGGACGTGAAACACCCGCACGTCCTCCAGGGTGTCGACCACTTTATCATTGAGCCGGCAAAAGGCAAACCAAAAGGACCGGGAGTTTTGCATATTTTCATGCAATACGCGCCGAATGGGAACCTCTTCACTAAACTGAGCGGTCGCGAGGCTTATAGCGAGAAGGAGTGCAAGAAATTGTTCGCACAGCTGTTGAACGCTATGGTGTTTATGCACGACGAGAACTGCGCCCATCGAGACGAGTTTGAGGTCTTATAAGACAATCTGCGCCGGTTGCTACACGAGTAAACACTGAAACCAAACTCGGCACGGAAGCTACTCGGGTTTCTCAGCTAACTTAGGTTCTGGATAACGCCCTGGGGAACAAATATGGCGCCCGAAATACTGGAAAGAAAGGGCAAACAAGTGCTAAAATACGATCCCTTCAAAGTGGACGTCTGGTCGATGGGTGTCGTCTTGTTTCTACTGTTTAACAAAGCCTATCCCTATAACGTGGAGAAAAGTAATTACAATTATGTGATCGACAGAATGAAAAAAAGGAAATATAAGTTTACGGCCAACGATCCGCCCTCTCATCAAATGGAGGACATAATCAGCCGTATGTTAGATCCCGACCCCAGACGAAGACCTGAAATGAAAGCACTGACTGGATATAAATGGATTGCCGACGCCTACAGAGTGGCCAAACAGACGGCCAAATTGCCCGCAAAAATACTGATTCCCGCCGTTAAGTAGATATTTGTTTTGACAAAATGTAATCGTTGTTTGATTTTCACTTTTACTCCAATTTTATCGACAATTATTTTCTTTTAATACTTATCTATAAATTCATTGCATATTTTTAATTTCTAATAAAAGTCTTCGTACACTGACGAGTGAACCATAAGTTTTAGTTAAATATCACGTGTAATACAAATCAATGAAATTTTGTAACTAATTATAGTTACAATTATATAACGAATAACATAATTAATTCAATACAATGTCATTTCATGCTTAGCGGGCATTCAAAACAATTGTTGCAGTTTTTAAATAACGTCCAAATGATAACTGAATAGTTTTGACTTGAATATCAAAAGAGAGATTTGAAAATTCTTGTATTTTAACCGCAAAATGTGTAAAATCGATACCATTTGTTATTTACTGAGTTGTTGTGGGCTTTTATGGCCGCGAAAGAAGACAAGACAAGAGCGGTTAGAAGAGAAGGAACGGACTCTACGAGCCCTCAAGACTATAGTCCCGCCGTACGGACGTCGAGTGCCGACCGGTAAACGAGATTTGGAGAATCGGACGGAGAAAGACGTTACTATGATCTACAAACTGCCGGACGAGAAATTTAAAACACCGCAAGAGGTCTACAAATTCCACGGCTTTAGATTTGAGTACGAATTAGGTCGGGGTAACTACGGGGTGGTCGACAAAGTGGTCTACCAGAGGGACAGCACATCAAAGCCCATCCCCGCCGCGTGCAAAAAGATTATAATCCCAAACCCGGGAAACGATCGCAAAAAGATTAGGAAACGCGAGCATCGGTTAAAAGACTTCAAGTATGAGGTTTCCATATTGACTGAGTTATGTCATCCGCATGTCCTCCAGTGCATCGACCACTTCATCATCGAGTCGTCGGATCCACGGCTACCGGAGCCGAGTATTTTGCATATCTTCGTACAGTTCGCCCCAATGGGTACCCTTTCTGATGAGCACATAAGACACGGACCATATAATGAGGCCGAATGCAAGGAATGGTTCGCACAGATATTGAGTGCAATGGTTTATATGCACAAAATGTATTGCGCCCATCGAGACCTCAAACTACAGAATATTCTGTTGGATGAGGTGAAAGATGTGCTCATTTCGGACTTTGGTTTGAGCCGTGCCTTCGATGAGCCCAACGTTGAGGCCAAGACCTATTGCGGGACTCCTTCTTATATGGCGCCCGAAATACTGGAAGGAAAAGGCAAAAAAGAGATCCCATACGACGCCTACAAAGTGGACGTCTGGGCGATGGGTGTCGTCTTGTTTATGCTCTTTAATAACCGCTATCCATATACTGTGAAAAACAAGGATTACACCAAAGTTGTGAAACGTATGCGGAATAGAGACTATAGATTTGTGTCCAAATATGGTGCGACTCCTCAATTGAAAAACCTAATGAGCCAGTTGTTAGAGCCCAACCCCGTCAATAGGCCTACAATGGAAGTCGTGTCAAAACATAAATGGATTGCCGGCGCCTATAATGCGGCCGTTGAGAAGAATAAGACCGCAAATACAGAGCAGAATTCGGTCACAAATACAGCACAGAATTCGGCCACAAATACAGCACAGAATTCGGTCACAAATACAGTACAGAATTCGCCTACAAATACAACACAGAATTTGGCCGCAAATACAACACAAAATCCAACCGTTTAGTAGATATTTGTTTTGACAAAAAAAAGAAATTGATTTTTGATTTTCACTTTTTTACACAATTATTTTCTACAATTTTGTTTTGTTTAATATTTATCTATTAATTCATTAATATTTTCATTTAATTTATAATTTTGTCATTTTATGGTTTTTCATTAATTGTAATTGAGAGCTGTTTGTTAATTAAAAAATACATAAAATACTAACCAATCAATTGATATTTTTGCAAATTTTAATTACATTTAACAATACATGTTACGCGCGAACGCTATTTAACTGTTAAATTGTTTCAAATTTTAGTAAACATTTAAATTCAATATCAATAGACAGTTGTAAACCATTGTATTATTATGACAGTAATGGATACTATTTGTTATCTCCTGAGTTGTTGTGGTCTTTGTTGGGGTAAAAAGAAGGATAAGAAAGAAATGAGAAGAGAGAAGGAATGGACGGTAAGAAACTTGAAAACAATAGTCCCGCCGACCGGACAGCGGATATCAATCGGAACACGAAATCTCAAGAAACTGAAGCCAAAGGACGTCACAAAAGTGTTTAAGATTCCGGACAAGACGTGTAAAACCAAAGAAGATGTGTTCAAAGTTCTCGGCTACACATTTGGTGGCAAAATAGGAGAGGGAAGGTTCGGCATCATTGACAGAGTGGAGCTCAAGAAGGGCACAGACCCTCCCTTCCCACTCGCCTGTAAAAAGATTGCAATCCCGGCCGCGGGAAAAGACGCCAAACAAAAAGAGATACGCGGCGACAGAATAGACAAAGTGAAGAATGAGATATATATGTTGCAGGAGTTGGATCACCCGCACGTCCTCCGCTGTTTCGACCACTTTATGATTGAACCGTCAGATCCCGCGTCCAGTGAACCGACAGTTGCGTATCTCTTCATGCAATTGGCCCCAAATGGGGACCTCTTTAAACAACTCGCTGAGCGTCGCGAGCCGTATAGTGAGGCCGAATGCAAAGAATGGTTCGCACAGATATTGAGCGCAATGGTTGCGATGCACGACAAGGGATGCGCCCATCGAGACCTCAAACTCTCTTTAAACAACTCGCTGAGCGTCGCGAGCCGTATAGTGAGGCCGAATGCAAAGAATGGTTCGCACAGATATTGAGCGCAATGGTTGCGATGCACGACAAGGGATGCGCCCATCGAGACCTCAAACTACAGAATATTCTGTTAGACGAGGAATACGAAGTCCTTATAGCGGACTTTGGTTTGAGTCGTGTTTTCTTTGAGCCCAAAGAGACAATTGAATCCAAAACCTATTGCGGGACTGTTACTCATATGGCGCCTGAAATACTTGGCCTAAAACGCAAAGTGGAAACTTCATACATACCCTTCAAAGTGGACGTCTGGGCGATGGGAGTCATGTTGTTTATGCTGTTTACCAAAAGGCTTCCCTATAATGTGAAGAAAGACACGAATTACGACAGAATTATGAAACATATGAAAAGACAAGACTATAAGTTTAAGGTCAAAGATCCACCGTCTCATCTAATGGAGGACTTAATCAAACGTATGTTAGATCCCAATCCCAACAGAAGACCTGAAATGAAAGCACTGTCTGAACACAAATGGATTGCCGACGCCTACAGAGCGGCCGTCGAGAAGAATAATAATACCGCAAAAATAGCACAGAATTTGGCCACAAATACAGCACAGAATTCGGCCGTAAATACAACACAGAATTTGGCCACAAATACAACACAAACTTTGGCCACAAATACAACACAAAATCCAACCATTCAGTAGATATTTGTTGTCGGCGTCAAAAAAGAATAATACAACGCAAGCCTTATAAACACTCTGGCCATTGATTTGATCATATTTTTGACAAAATGTAATCGTTGTTTGATTTTTACATTTTTACTCCAATTATATTGATATTTAGTTCCGTTTAATACTTATCTATATTTATCCGCAAATGTAATACATGTTTGCATTTATTTATTAATTTCTAATAAAAGTTTTCATTCACTTTGAATAAACGCTGATTTTTATTAAATAAATATTTACTACTGAAAATACTAAACAATTTATAGCTATTTATTGTAAATCAATACTAATGAATCATTATTTACAATAATTACAATCAAATCATAACAATATCAGTGCATATTTTGCATGCATTCATAATAATTGTTACTCTGGTTTGAAATTAATGTTCAAAAATCTAATGATTTTAATGAATGACATTTGAGTTAAATTCAAAAGACAGTTGAAAACCATTGTAAACAAGATGTGCAAAGAACTCAATAAACTCATGGGAAACATATGTTATTATCTGTTTTGTTGCTGTTGTTGTCGGCGAAGGACTAGAAATAGAAAGAAAGACAGAGAAGAAAAGGAAAGGACACTTAAGGAACTCTCGATGATTGTGCCCCCGACTCAACGCGAGTTGTCTACCAATAGCCAAAATCCCAGAGCTATGGCCAAAGAGGAAATCACACAATGCTATGGACTGCCAGACAATGACTTGGGATTGAAGACTCGGGAAGATGTGTACAAACGGCACGGATACAGGTTTTTGGGCATACAGTTGGGATCGGGAAAGTTTGGTACCGTTGAAAGAGTTGTCTACGAAAGGGAGAATATACCGGCCATAAACCTCGCCTGCAAACGGATGACTATACCTAAAGGAAAGACTCGGGCGGCCGCTAAGAAAAGCCAGAAACTACTAAATTCGGCCAAAACCGAGGTCTATGCTCTCCAGAAACTGAAACACCCGCATATCATCCAATGTGTCGACCACTTCATCATTGAGTCGTCGGATATTCGGTCTACAGATCCGATAGTTTTGCATATCTTCATGCAATGGGCGCCAAAAGGGACGCTTTACGACGCGTCCAACGCTAGGGCACCCTTTAATGAGAGCAAGTGTCGGCTATGGTTCGCACAGATTCTCAGCGCAATGGTCTACAGTCACAGCAAGAGGTGTGCGCACCGGGACCTCAAACTATTAAACATACTTCTGGACGCCAACGAAGACTTACTCGTCACGGACTTTGGTCTGAGCCGTGCCTTTGATGAGCGCGTTATGGAGATGGAGGCGACCACGTATTGCGGAACAGCGACTTATATGGCACCCGAAATACTTGGAATAAAGACCCACAAAACTGTGTCATACGATCCCTTCAAAGTGGATGTGTGGGCGTTGGGTGTGATTCTGTTTATTCTGTATAACAACACCTATCCGTACGAGAAAGAAAAACTTGGTGGTATTGAAAAAATGGTCGATTATATGCAGAAAAAGAAATATACTTTTGCACGTTTGCCCACTCATGAAATCGACGACATTATGGGACAGATGTTAGACCCGGCGCCGGACAATAGGCCCACAATGTTAACCCTTTCTACACATCAATGGATCGCCAAAACCTATAGAGCGCTCGAAGAGAAGAATAATAAAAGGATTTTCAACTTAATTAAAGTTAAAACCGTTAAATAGATATATGTTTCGACAAAACATATAATTGTGGTTTGATTTTCACAACTTTTTACTCACAATTTTTATCGACAATTATTTCCATTCAATACTTATTTATTAATTAATCAAAATCTGTATTTATGTGTTAATTTGTAATAAAAGTTTTCATTCACTTTGACTGAGCGCTGAGTTTTAATGAATATCACAGCAAATACTAAACAGTTTACTACTATTTTAATGTAAATTAATGTAAAACATGTGAAACATTATTTACAGTTATTATAATTTAATCATATACTTTGGCGCGCATTCAAAACAATAGTTACTATGGTTTGAAAAATAGGGATAAAAAATCAATATTGATTTTAATGAATGAAATTTGATTTAAATTCAATACGAAAAGACAGTTGAAATCATTATAACCAAAATGTGTAAAGAACTCAATGAACTGATAGGAAACATATGTTATTATCTGTTTTGTTGCTGTTGTTGTCGGCGAAGGAGAAGGAAGAGAGACAGAAAAGAGAAGGAAAGGACGCTTAAGGAACTCTCGATGATTGTGCCCCCGACTCAACACGAGTTGTCGACCGATAGCCAAAATCCCAGAGCTATGGCCAAAGAGGAAATCACAACTTGCTATGCACTGCCAGACAATGACTTGGGATTGAAGACATCGGAAGACGTGTACAAACGGCACGGATACAGGTTTGTAGGCCCAGTGTTGGGATCGGGAAAGTTCGGTACCGTTGAAAGAGTTGTCTACGAAAGGGAGAATATACCGCCCATAGAGCTCGCCTGCAAACGGATGCCTATACCTATAGGAGACAACCGAACCGCTAGGAAAAACAAAAAAATGTTAAATATGGCCAAAGGTGAGGTCTATGCGCTCCGGAAACTGAAACACCCGCATATCATCCAATGTGTCGACCACTTCATCATTGAATCGTCGGATATTCGGTCTACAAAACCGATAGTTTTGCATATCTTCATGCAATTGGCAAAGAAGGAAACGCTTTACCACATAACCAGCGATAGGGGACCCTCTGAAGAGCCTCAGTGTCGGTTATGGTTCGCACAGATTCTCAGCGCAATGGTCTACAGTCACAACGAGAGGTGTGCGCACCGGGACCTCAAACTATTGAACTTACTTCTGGACGCCAACGATGACGTACTCGTCACGGACTTTGGTCTGAGCCGTGCCTTTGATGATCGCGTTGACGACATGGAGGCCAACACTTTTTGCGGATCTCCAAACTATATGTCACCGGAATTACTGAAAATAAAAGGCATCAAACATGCAAAATACGATCCCTTCAAAGTGGATGTGTGGGCGTTGGGCGTGATTTTGTTTGTGTTGTTTGACAATACATTTCCGTACGATATGGGAAAACTTGGCGGTATTAAACGTACGATAAAGTGTATGACTGAAAGGCAATACAGTTTTACACGTAAGCCCTCGTCAGGAATCGAGGACATTATGTGGCAGATGTTAGACCCGGTACCCGAAAGTAGGCCCAAAATGTTAGCCCTTTCCACACATGAATGGATCGCCACAACCTATGAAGCGGTCGAAGCAAAGGGTGTCGAAACTTTCAACTTAATAAAACTCCAAACCGTTAAAAATCTTAAATAGATATTTGTTTCGATAAACTATAATTGTTTTCTCATTTTCACATTCTTTACTCACAATTTTTAGCGTTATTTCCATTTTATACTTATTTATAAATTCATTACAAATTTGTATTTATTTGTTAATTTGTAATAAAACTCTTTATCTACTGTGAGCTGTTTTTATTTCATGTTATTTTATAATCTTACAAACAAATGGATTTAGTAACAAAAACAAATAGTTTTTATATTAAAAATTAATTTATTAAATATGTTAAACGTTATAAATTTTTATCAATTTAAAGCATTATTAAGTTTTAGGATATCTAGAAATAAATGTATATCTTATTTGAGTATTAATGGGGAAAATGATTAGTTTTAAAAAAGTTATTATTTGACGACAGAATCCTAAAGTGTAATAAGAAAACTCTAGAGTCAATGCATTTAATCACAACTATTGCTGACAACAGACAAAACAATGAGGTTTATTGAGTACAGACATGTCTGGCCATGATTTATGGTATCGATGGGTCCTTCAGTGATAATAATGGAGAAGATTAAAACTCGGTGTCAGCCATAACTGTCTCCAAGTATTAACTATAGTTATAAACTTCAAATATTAACTAAATTATAACTACAATTAAAATTAATTGCAAATAATTTTATATACAATTTTTATGTTGAAATAACAATAACTAATGTAATCAATTAAGACGTTGTTTATAATGTATATTTAAAGACAATAACAGTGATGTTTTGAGACGATATGAATTATCAAAGGGAAGTTATTACTGTGTATGCTTTAAATCTTGGTTGAAAATGCATTAAATATTGAGGTTTTAGAGAATTCTGAGACAAAAGATTGATTATAAACATATAATTTATAAGTTTTGTCTAAAATTGTGGTACAAAACAATAACTCATAGATTTTCAAACAATAGATTATTGTATTTGTAGTAAAGTCTCGCAAACACTGCGAAAC